ACCACATGGGTGTGCCACTCATACCTAGTTATGTTCCACGTAAGTTCTGCACCTTTAACCTATTATGTCCACTGCAGCACTTTGTTTTCTAGCTATAATGATGGACAGTAGTGACACGATGAGCTTCCTGGAAAGAACCAAAAGCCTCATTGGAGATATGTTGATGATTCCGTTGTGGAAATGGTAAGCACCTTTATTATGTATATGTTATGTTATTATGTGTTGTTTGGCTTGAAAGTTCCAAGGGAAGATAAGAGGCTGATGAAGGGGACCTTTTATACCGTTAGTAGAGGAGAAGTTGTTGCATGCTACAGCACTAGGATGTGCTGCCTATGGATGCGTAGACTGTGAGGGCTACCGGAAGAGCCCAAACAGGAATTTTGAAGCATTATGGTTCCATAACGGACATTCTCAAACGTTTTCGCAAAAGATTTTGATTATGAAAAAAGCTTCGGAAGTAGACTAGGAACGGAACAGGTCTCGAAATCAGTAGAGATATATTAGCATACCTATATTTGTCAACTTTTATAATTCGCCTATAAAATAAGTATAGTAAATTCAATCAAACAGCTAACAATATCTTTTCTTCTGTTTCCAACCTACTTGCACCTTTCAGCTGACAGCATCTTTTCTTCTCTTTCCAACCTACTTGCATCTTTCTGCCGCTAGGCCTTGCAACATCTACTCTGGCGCAATTAACGAATGCTTTAGACCTTGTAGAGAGCATTACTTCACTACATACGCACTTTGACGATGCTCCGCCCTCGCTGACCGTACTCCGCAGAAGTAAACAAAAAAAATCGAGTTAAACTCTTTAAAGCACAAAACCACGCCACCGTTTTTTAGTAATTCGGCACTTCGATTACTCACTTCCAGACGCCAAAAGAAGCTTCTTAACTTAATGTCCCTGTCACAGAAACAAGGTTTTTGCTGGCTTCCAACTTTCTGCACAAACGAAAATCGCCTTATTTGAGTCCTTATGTGCATAGTCACTGCAAAACACAACTAATAAAGGCTCTATACCTTGAAAAGAAGGCGAGT